GTTCGAACTCATCCGAGCTATCACCTAGACAAGCATCCTGACCAAGTTTGATGATGATTGATGCAAAAATGTGACCGCTAGAGTGTTAACAAGGTTTTTCTATTTTTAGCTCCGGTGACCTACTTTTTCATCCGAGATGACCCATGTTCGAACTCATCCGAGATATCACCTAGACAAACATCCTGACCAAGTTTGATGATGATTGAGGCAAAAATGTGACCTCTAGAGTGTTAACAAGGTTTTTCTATTTTTAGCTCTTGTGACCTAGTTTTTCATCCGAGATGACCCATGTTCGAACTCATCCGAGCTATCAACTAGATAAGCATCCTGACCAAGTTTGATGATGATTGAGGCAAAAATGCGACCGCTAGAGTGTTAACAACAAGATGTGAACGGACGACAGACAATCATTGATCCTAAAAGCTCACCCTGAGCATGCTCAGTTGAGCTAATAATCCACAGAAAAACGGCAAATATAATCGTTTATGCTTAAAATTTTTGCTTGTTGTCTCTGCCTGGCAGAAAATCAAACATTAAAACAGAACAGACATATATTTTATAAGGTTTGCACCAAAGGTACATTATCAGAACATATTTACTGAATTAATACATTTACATTAAATACAGTCAATTAGTTACATAATAAACCAGTGTTGAATCACAATACCATATACATTTAGTAACTTATTTACATTTAATACAATGTCATGATATTTTCAACATACAGTATTTATCATTTTCTTTCCCAAAAGGGTGGATTTTAATATGTGAAGCAAATGCATTAAATTAGTTAAACGTTATAAAATCACAATGGTCAAGATGTGACCTGGCAAGTTAAAACACTGTAACAGGTGGAGAAAAAAATTCTTTGCACCTGAATTGAATGATCCATATCTATGAGTTATGTGGGTATATACTTAACATGAAAGTCTTTAATCTTATTAAACCCATTTTTTTGAGGATATAAGCCCATCTTCTTGGATTTCAACCCTGAATATTGAAGATCTTCTGGGATCAAACCCAAACTATTGAGAAGATCATGACTTTTATTTACTTATAACAATAACACAGACAGGTTTCCTAATTTAACTATTAGATCTACTCTGTAATAAGAATCTCCAAAATTGTAAAACTTTACATTTGAATGCCCATTATGTGAAAATTAAGTTACACTTAATACAATCAATCTGCAAGTAAAAGACATACAAGGATGCTCATAAGCAAATTTGGGGTATTTCTAACCAAAAAAAAATTCACAAAGTTGACTACTGATGGCTGCTGGACAACTGAAGTGTCTACCATCCAGTCTGGACTATCTTAAATTATACTGAATGTAGTTAAAGACATTTATTTACATTAAAACAAGGTCAACTGGAAATGTGTTCAAAAGGACATGGATGCCTCCACATGCCACTGCTGCGTTAATCTGAAGATGGACAGCATAACGGTGGGACATGGGTCCACACAGACAAGGGAAAATATAAACCCCCACCCCATCCCATGTAGTTATTGCATAAAAGTTGGTAAATTTTCAGATAGAATTTATGGTTTCTTTTTCCAGTTTTGCTGTACTGCTCTATAAGCATGTTCATATCAAGTTCACAAAGCTATCAAGACTGTATTATGCATAATTATGTACCACAGTGTGCTTGGCTTTAAATCAAGCATTAGATGATTTTAATGATGACATTAATGCAGAATATAATTGGTTCAATCAAGTCTACAGACCTACAAAGCAATTGTAAGCAATGAATTCAATAACAAATTGCACAATGTCATGAGATATAATTATTAAGATTTCATTGAGGCATGAATGGTCATGTTTTGTTTCCTTCAGCAAGAAACTTAACACGCATTGCTTATTACTGGTTGGTTCCAGAAACGGATTCAAGGATGTTTCTATAAGCTGCTTATAGCTTCCAGCACAATCAAACTAAAACAAGAGGGCCATGATGGCCCTAGATCGCTCACCTGAATTATCAAACTCATCTAAACAATTACCTAGACAAGCATTCTGACCAAGTCTCATGACAGGTGAGTCAAAAATGTGACCACTACAGTGTTAACAAGGATTATCCATATTTGAGCAGTGCGACCTAGTTTTTTACCCAGGTGACACATATTCAAACTTGACCTAGAAATCATCAAAACAAACTTTCAGACCAATTTTCAGGATACTTGGATCAAAACAGTAGCAACTAGAGTGTTAACAAGATTTTTCTATTTTTAGCTCCGGTGACCTAGTTTCACATGCGATTTCGAACTCATCCAAGCAATTACCTAGACAAACATCCTGACCAAGTTTGATGATAATTGAGTCGAAAATGTGACCACTAGAATGTTAACAAGGTTTTTCCATATTTGGGCGGTGTGACCTAGTTTTTCATCCAAGATGACCCATGTTAGAACTTGACTTAGAAATCATCAAAACAAACTTTCAGACCAATTAACAGAATATTTGGATCACAACAGTAGCCACTAGAGTGTTAACAAGATTTTTTCTATTTTTAGCTCCTGTGACCTAGTTTTTCATCCGAAATGTCCCATGTTCGATTTATTCCCAGCAATGACCTAGACAAGTTTCCTGACCAAGTTTGATGACAATTGAGTCAAAATTGTGACCACTAGAGTGTTAACAAGGTTTTTTCTATTTTTAGCTCCTGTGACCTAGTTTTTCATCCGAGATGACCCATGTTCGAACTCATCCGAGCTATCACCTAGACAAGCATCTTGATCAAGTTTGATGATGATTGATGCAAAAATGTGACCGCTAAAGTGTTAACAAGGTTTTTCTATTTTTAGCTCTGGTGACCTACTTTTTCATCCGAGATGACCCATGTTCGAACTCATCCAAGCTATCAACTAGATAAGCATCCTGACCAAGTTTGATGATGATTGATGCAAAAATGTGACCACTAGAGTGTTCACAAGGTTTTTCTATTTATAGCTCCGGTGACCTAGTTTTTCATCCGAGATGACCCATATTCGAACTCATCCGAGCTATTATCTAAACAAGCATCCTGACAAAGTTTGATGATGATTGGGTCAAAAATGTGACCACTAGAGTGTTCACAAGGTTTTTTCTATTTTTAGCTCCTGTGACCTAGTTTTTCATCAGAGATGACCCATGTTCGAACTCATCCAAGCAATTGACTAGACAAGCATTCTGACCAAGTTTGATGATGATTGGTTCAAAAATGTGACCACTAGAGTGTTCACAAGGTTTTTCTATTTATAGCTCCTGTGACCTACTTTTTCATCCGAGATGACCCATGTTCGAACTCATCCAAGCTATCACCTAGACAAACATCCTGACCAAGTTTGATGATGATTGGGTCAAAAATGTGACCTCTAGAGTGTTCACAAGGTTTTTCTATTTTTAGCTCTTGTGACCTAGTTTTTCATCCGAGATGACCCATGTTCGAACTCATCCGAGCTTTCAACTAGATAAGCATCCTGACCAAGTTTGATGATGATTGAGGCAAAAATGCGACCGCTAGAGTGTTCACAAGTAATTGTGGACGGCCGGACGGACGACGGACGACGGACGACGGACATTCACCGATCCTAAAAGCTCACTGAGCAAGCTCAGGTGAGCTAAAAATTTTAGTTTAACTAAAAAGAAATTTGTATAAACTAACTAAAGAGTTAAATAAAATAATTAGAACTTTGTTTTGTTGGGTTTTAAGTCACATATAGACTTTGTAGCTTTACTGGTGGAGAAAAACTGCACATGCCTCCTTGTGCACTATTGCAGACAGATGCTGGCCCCTGAGTAGAACCACTGACCTTCCACAATAGTTATTTAATACAATTAAAGTATAAAATACGTGTAAAATTGTTAAGAAGCTGTATAACTCCTGTTAACTTTGTGAGCAAGACACTATGGTAAGAATTGTTGAAAGTTCCTTTAAACACACAATCATTCTAAGTCCCTAAAAATAATATATAGCACCTTCGGCAAGGTGAAACATAAACATATAAAAATAAAGATCTATTTTAATAAATTATACAAACAATATATTAACCTGAAGTTATTTTGCTTATATATACTGCACTAAAATAAGCTGTGTATATTCCAAAAATTAATGTTGTAAAAAAAAGCAGGGAAGGAGATGAAGGCTTGGAGGCAGGGCTACTGACATTATTGGATAAATTTATCCTATAATAGACAAATAATATTCATGTCATTAACGGAATAATTCTGTCTAAGAACTTGGCAAGCATCATTGATGTTTATACGTTTTGCAACCAGCCCCAATACAAAATCAAGACCAAACAAATAAATATATAAATGTACACAAGATATACCGTCTCTGTTACCTGGAATAACATTGAAATTTTATACAGGAAAACTCTATAATGTAATATTTTTAACTAACTATAGACTAAAATAGTATAATATTTAATCAAGGAACCTTCACATCAACACTGCAACATCTTCAATAAATGCTATGGAGCAAAAATATTGCGGTATAAAACCTTTCTTTTACATCTTTTTTGGTAGCTTTTAAATAATACAGACACTGTCAATGTCATATAGTGACTTTCAAGCTATATTGATGGAGAAAGACCTTAAGTACCTATCTATATATTATTTCAGAGGATTCTTTACTTCTTATCAATTATATCAACAACATAGTTTAATGAAATAAAAACTTGAAAGTTCCTGACAGCATAATGTACAGACAAGTTATGAGGGATTAGCGGGTTAAAGTGAATGACCATAACCAGCTGTACAACAGTGACTGATGCAACAACATGGTTAGCATCAACATGTAGCTTATTCTAACAGACCTGTATGACTAAAAATTGTGTTACATTAACAACAGTACTTTTTCACAGTAAAAATCTGAAAAATAAAAATTTATAGAAACAGTGTCCCAATGAAGTATTTGTTTGGGGGTAATGAAATAAATAACACATAGGTTTGTGAGAAACAGCAAAAAAATCACCCCTTGTAGAACTACTAACGTATTTTCCTCGGGATAAGATTTTTACTGTTACTCATAAAACTATGTATTATTTATAGACTTACTGTCATCCAATGTGTAATCTCTAGGGTCTGCCTGGGTCGGGTCAGCTGGTAACTTTTTATGCTGCAATATAAAAACATGTGTGTAAACAATGTACATCAAGTCAAATAAAGGTATTGAAAAGGTTTCATAATTATGGTCATAAAAGGAATAACTGTATTTGTAGATGGAGAACATACCCAGTGATATGGGGTGGTAGATATATTTAAAAAGAGAAGAATATGCTATCATGTTGACCACATTATCCATAAGATTCACATATTGTTAAAAAAACTAGTCATGTTCAATAGATGTTATCCAGAGTTCGGCAAAAGTGGGTTTCTCCAAACTAATCCCTCGGTACAAACAAATTTTTACCGTTATAGCTTTCTGGTGCACTACCCGTCAAAATAGATTAGTTGACCTGTTGTCTTTATTTTCAAAGCAGTAACTGTAAATGTTTGTTTTTGTCCCCGGATTAGCTGAGAAAACCCAAAATATTCTTAATTCCCGAGTATGCCTACTCTTTTTGTACTATTGAAGCTTACCATGTTCTATTAAAATGTATGTTACAATGAGGATGGCCTTAATATGATAAAGTTTCAATAAGCTTGTTATTAAAACTTATTTAGATGGTTATTATTAATGAAGCTTAACCAATACATTTGCACATTATCAAAGTTCATGTATATTTGCAATAAAGGCCTGGGTTCAACACTTAGATGATAATGTTCTTTAATTTTTTTTTTTGTTGGGTTTTACGTCGCACAGTATTGGTCATACGGCATTATTCCAAATTTAATGGTAGAGGAAGACCTCAGGTACCCTCCATGCATTATTTCAGGCAAAAACAAGCACCTGAGAAGAACCACCAACATTTTGTAAGCTAACTGAATAGCTTTTTCATATGAAAGAATCCAAATTCAAACCTATAGCAGAGAGGGGCAAGTGGTTTGAAGTCAACAACCTTAACCAAATAGAACTACCAAAACATGCATATAGTATTTTATAAAGATTCTTACCTTGAGTATTATTTTCCTTTTCAGTTGTTCTGGAGAAGGCAATTGTGTACCATCTTTCTGTATAGGCTCTGTTAACAGCATATCTAAAATATATGAATGACATGCCCTGTCAATAGCATATTAATAATTCTTAAAATGTTTCTTATATCATACTCCACGATCATGCAGCGATGCTTTGATAAAATTCATCAAGTTAAGATATTTCTGTAGAGGAGATCTATCTAAAACTATTTTTTTTGGGGGGCAATAATTTATTATAGAAAAATTGAAGGATACAATTTTTACAGAGTACTGTACTTGAGTATACTCAATTGTTCCATTTTTGAGACTCGATAATCTTTTCTGACATTGCAATGTAAATTCCTACTGAAAAACAATTATCATGTAGAAGATAATATAGAAATAAATCTCACCACCAAATGTGTCTTTGAAAGCACTTGCCATATTTCTCTGTTGTCCTAGACTACAATGATTCTCTATTGATAATATAAGCGGATAGCTGAAATGTACAAGCTTTATATCACACAAAGCATTGACAAAACATATCTAAAATAATAAAAATAATAATCATAAATCAGTTAATTATCAGACAAAATAATTCCACAATACATTTATCACTACCTAAAATGTAACTCTTATACCTAAAATGTCACTTCTTATTAAGTAAACACAATCAGATTTTTTTAAATGATTCAAATCTTCATCATCATTATCATCAAACTACATCATCATCATCACCACATGACATCATATTACCACTATCATCATCATACAACTCATCATTATCATCATCAAAATACAACATCTTCATCATCATCATTAACAATATCACCATCATTATCATCACCATATAGTATCATCATCATCTTAACAACATTATCACCATCATCAAAAATACACATTGCCACCACCATCATCATCATCATCATCAACCTCATCACAATACAACTGATCATCATCACACATTGCTAAAATCATCATTATCACCACACAACATCATCATCATCATACATTATCATCACAACAACTTCATCATCATTATTTTATTACTTTTATAACTTTGATTATCTAATACAGAAACAGTTAAAGTCATAAAGTATCTTTATAACAGCTTTAACCTAAGTTGTTCCTCCAGGCAACATTTTAGGCACCAAGGTAGAACCACAAACTTTTAAGTTACATTTGTAGTCTCTTCCTAGCAATAAAGAAGCCGCTCAACCTCAAAGGTCTCCTATCCAAAGCTGAGGAGTGAATGATTTTTAAGTCAGCAACTTTAAATAATATGCCACACAACAAATTTATTAGAGCCTAATTACCAGTAAATTTAAAACACATCTTTTGAAGTACTAAACTACCTGTGATAAGTTCCCTACAAATACTTCTACAGGTTCTACACCAATTTTCACAACAAACAAGCTAAACACACTGAAGTCACATCAATATTTGTAACAGATTTTCTAGCATACATTCATTGAAAACACCACCGTTTGTAAAGAACGTCCAACCATAGCATTACTATTTTTTTAAAGACATCTATTATCAGCACAAATAACGGTAGACTATGTATATAGTACAAACATTTAATAAAACAAATTCCTATTGCCCTTGCTTTGCAACAGATATCCAATATTTGTAACAGACATTCAATACTTGTAAGAGATCCAATATTTGTAACAGACATCCAATATTTCTAACATACATCTAATATTCATAACAGACATCCAATATATATATAACATACATCCAATATTTGTATCAGACATCCAATATTTGTAACAGAAATCCAATATTTGCAACAGACATTCAACATTTGTAACAGACATTCAATATTTGTAACAGAAATCCAATAATGGTAACAGAAATCCAACATTTGCAACAGACATTCAATATTTGTAACAGACATTCAACATTTGTAACAGACATTCAATATTTGCAACAGACATTCAACATTTGTAACAGACATTCAATATTTGTAACAGACATTCAATATTTGTAACAGACATTCAATATTTGTAACAGAAATCCAATAGTTGCAACAGACATTCAACATTTGTAACAGACATTCAATATTTGTAACAGACATTCAATATTTGTAACAGAAATCCAATATTTGTAACAGAAATCCAACATTTGCAACAGACATTCAATATTTGTAACAGACATTCAACATTTGTAACATACATTCAATATTTGTAACAGAAATCCAATAATGGTAACAGAAATCCAACATTTGTAACAGACATTCAATATTTGTAACAGACATTCAACATTTGTAACAGACATTCAATATTTGTAACAGACATTCAACATTTGTAACAGACATTCAATATTTGTAACAGACATTCAATATTTGTAACAGACATTCAATATTTGTAACAGACATTCAATATTTGTAACAGAAATCCAATATTTGCAACAGACATTCAACATTTATAACAGACATTCAATATTTGTAACAGACATTCAATATTTGTAACAGAAATCCAATATTTGTAACAGAAATCCAACATTTGCAACAGGCATTCAACATTTGTAACAGACATTCAACATTTGTAACAGACATTCAATATTTGTAAAAGAATGATGTTATATCAAAATTTTCAACAGATCTATACCTTCAATATTTGTAACACAACTGGCACCACAAATAAAATTCACTTATAAATTGTGATTTCACAAACTTTTTGACAATAAAAAATATCCCATTATACAGTATATATACACAGTTTGATAGATCTCTATGGAAGACATGACCTACAACATTTATGTTACATCTCTGCCTCAACAAAATAATTTTGGGCTATCTACTGTACAGCATAAAATGACAACACCATTCACTTACTCAGAACACACCCAGGCATATTCCTTTATCACTTGTATAACGTCTGTGAAGCGTATTTTGGATGTCAATGTATGGCCATGAAACACCAAGGGGAGATTATCTGGACCATCCCAGCAATCAACTGTAAATTAGGTCAAGGTCAATATTAAGATTGAGGTCAACCTTAATGTCATGGTCATTTGGGGGTATCAACAATATCTTACGAGGAGCTACAGGTTTACAACAATTACAGAGAATAACTTAAATCAACCATTTCATTTTTTCACAAAATATAACCAAAAAAGCAAAAATAACCAGATACTAATAACCAAGAAGCGTACTACATAATGACTATACTCACCGAACAAAAACTCAATGTTCAAGCTTACCAAGATACAGTATAATGCTTTCATACATCATATGCATATGTTACATATACTGCAAGACCAACAATATATGACAAACTTTCCCACATACAAGTGACACACAAATGAACCAAGTATTACTAAACTTCAATGGAAAATAAAAATAACCTTACACCAAAAACAAAATACACATATATAGGGTATAGTGACCATCATGCTACAGAACACAATATTGAAGAATGATGCAAAAGAAACATAATATACTGTAATACAGGACAAAAAAAACAACAGTGTACCATCTAACATGAACAGTAATTCTACCAGCTTGCCTTTTGCCACTCACAATGGAAAGTTTGTTTTTCTCAAACATCAAATACCAAAATCTTTAGTCCGATATCTAAAATAATGCTATTCAGGAACTCCTTACCTGTTCAATAACATTTGCGATAATACTTTGCACATTGAAAAATAATTCCTAAAAACACCTACAAAAAAAAGTTCGGTAACTTTTTTTTAAAATTTCCTTCATACACTCAACAGAATATTGAATCCCCACACTTCAGACACATAGTTTCAAACCAAACAATACTGTTACTGAATGTTCAGTCTCTACAAAATCTACAGCAGGTGTGTTAGAATGGTTATATTTGTGATATTTGTGATTCACTTACTCTGACACAGACCATGCATGCTCTTTGATAGATTTAAGGACATCTAGAAAGCGTATATGTGATGTTAACGTGTGACCGTGGTAGATCTTTGGGTATCCGTCAGGGCCATCCCAGCAGTCCACTACGTAATACAAATTAAAAAATACATACATACATGTGTTTAAAATAATGCAGATGCTCAAATTAATAAGACTCAAGCTATTGTGTATGCATACAGTAACTAATCTTTTAAAGTTATCATTCACCTAAATGTTCAATAATTATAATGTTAGTTCTTAACGTTACAGTCATCAACATTGTAAAGCTCATCTGGTGACTTTTGAGCTATATTGAATGTGTAAGACATAAGTTGCCCTATATACAGTATCTATATCACAACCAGGCACCAGATTACAACCATCAACCTTGGTTGGTGGTGGTGTTGGTAGTTTACCATCCAGATCACGGCAGTAAGCCACTTAGAACTGACAAGAGTACAGTCCAGCCACTGCATCGTTCCTGGGCAGGCTGTCAAGCATTTTACCAGCAATATCTTTACATGTGAATTCAAATCAATATTATCAGTCATACTAATTCTTCTTAAGGGTAATGTTATATGGCAGATTTCCAGCATTACTAGAGGGTCTATCATTCAACTGCTAATGAATACACAGTTTATTGCTGTACATTTATTGCTGTAAAAGGAGTCCTATAAAACTCTAATTCCCTCTTCTTTTCTTTCCATCATCTGTTTACATCAAATAATATAGATAAATACGGAATCCCTAAGAAAGCCCAACACGACAATATTGAAAATGTTGCAGGCTCGGTTTGATTGAGCCTGTTTTGCTGACAAAGATTGTGTTGATTATTCTTACAAACAAGGGTGCCATAGTCACAAAATACGCCCGTTTACGAAAGCTTTAGATAGAGATGGGGGCATTATGGATAAGTGTTATCTAGCAAGCAAGTTTTTATTCTTGGCACTGTGTTGTTAAATGAACCTTAAAACAAATCAGTGGGGAAGATATGCACAGGATGTGTGACCTTGACCTTGGTCGCAGGGACCTGAATTTTATGCACGGCACTCAGCCTCACAATGATGAACATTTGTGCCAAATTATATTGAAATCCCTCTATGCATGTAGAAGTTTTGCTCCAGACAAGTGTTTTTCTATGAGCTCTAACTGTGACCTTCACCTTTGACCTAGAGACTTGGTTTATGTGCAGGGCACTACGTCTCATGGTGGTGAACAATTCTATAAAAGTAACATTAAAATTCCTCCATGCATGTAAAAAATATGCTCCGGACAACATCTGGATATTTAATCATCTCCAGTGACCTTGACCTTGCAAATATTAACCTAAATTAAATGTGTCACACCTGTAGTCATGATAGTTACCATTTGTGCTACAATCCATCAATAAATGATGACTAAATGGTCCCTATAACCATCTTCAAATTTTTATCTGAACTTTGACCTCTATGTGTAACCTTGACTTTGGTCGCAGGGATCTGAATTTTGCATGCGACACTCAGCCTCACAATGGTGAACATTTGTGCCAAGTTATATTGAAAACCCCTATGAATGTAGAAGTTTTGCTCCGGACAAGCGTTTTTCAATGAGCTCTAAGTGTGACCTTGACCTTTGACCTGGAGACCTGGATCATGCATGGAGCAATACATATCATGGTGGTGAACATTTCCATAAAGTATTATAAAAATTCTTCCATACATGTAGGAGATATGCTCCAGACAAAATCTGGATATTTCACCATCTTTAGTGACCTTGACCTTGCATATATTGACCTAAAGTACATGTGTCACAGCCGTAGTCATTATAATGACCATTTGTGTTACAATCCCTCAATAAATGATGATTAAATCGTCCCTATACACATCTTCATATTTTTATCTTTTTTTAAACGGGCGTATAAAAAGTACATGTAATTGTAATTTAATAACTAAAAAATTCTGATTTAAGATTTTATTCTAGGGAAATACATTTCATTACAATTCTTAATCTTTGAATGAGCTGAACTGATATTTACTTGAAAATTAAAATATAATTAAATTTCTATGAGAAAGTATTTACATTTGATAAGGTAATTACTGTATGATCTTTATGAACAAATACCAAGTCTACAGAACACCATAGTTATCACAGTTAAGAATCTTGACCAATGAATGAAACATGTGTAAATAAATGTTACATTCTTTAGAACATACTCAAGTACAAGAAAGAGGATTACTTCATGCCCTTTGATTAAATTCTATTTTTAGAATTGAAAGTGAAAGTAGATCAAGGGGAGTAATTGTGTAAGTCATTTATGAACAAAGTAATAACTTTGTTGTCCCCCTTTGATTAAATTCTATTTACAAAATCTGGATATTTCATCATCTTTAGTGACCTTGACCTTGTATATATTGACCTAAATTATATGTATCACAGCCATAGTCTTGATAATGACCATTTGTGTTACAATCCCTCAATAAATGATGACTAAATGGTCCATATACACATCTTCATATTTTTATCTGAACTTTGACCTCTATGTGTGACCTTGACCTTGGCCGCAAGGACCTGAATCTTGCACGCGACACTCCGCCTCACAATGGTGAACATTTGTGCCAAGTAATATTGAAATCCCTCTATATATGTGGAAGTTTTGCTCCGGACAAGCATATTTCAATGAGCTCTAAGTGTGACCTTGACCTTTGACCTAGAGACCTGGTTCATGTGCGCGACACTGCTCCTCATAGTGGTGAACATTTCTATGAAGTTTCATTAAAATCCCTCCATACATGTAGGAGATATGCTCCGGACAAAATTGGACGCCGCCCGCCCGCCCGCCAGGGGCGTTCCCATAATACGTCCCGTTTTTCATAAGGGCGTATAAAAAAGCATACTATAATTGTATCACATAAATCTTCCAGATCATAATAATCCCTGTTTATACTATGAAATATTTCAGTAAATATAGGTTGAAATAAACTCTGGGAAGTGGTTGACATATTGCATAAAGATGATTGTGAATTGCAAGATTACACATTGAGTGACCACAACACCTCACTGAATGGAAAGTGACTTTAATGGAGCTGAAAATCATATGCATTAAATGTGACATAAACATGACTTGTTGACTTGTAACACAAAGTTTATACCATACGGTTTTTCAAATTAAACTTTTGGATTATGAAGAAATACATGTTTTGACAACATTAATGTGCAAATGAAAAAATCTGACTCCAGGCATTAAAATGCTAAATTGAATCATTTAAAAGCTTGTGCTTATTTTCATGTTTCAAATTTGAGCAGAAATTCTATCTTAAATCTTACTCTGTTCTATCCTAAATCTTACATAAAAGTCATTACTATGTCACATTATCTAAGCTATAGTCTAGATAATTAAATAAAAATTAACCAAATGACAAATGGTAACATAAATTTTAATACAGTCAAACTTATTGCACTTTCAATGCACTATGTTCAATGCTTCTTTTTCAGCTTTTTTAGGTTTCAGGCTTGAATCTGAACTAGACATGACTTGTGTCCATAGAACATTTATGACCCACTTAATTTGCCTATCACAGTAGCTTACTTACAGAATTATGCATAATTCATAAAGGTCAAGTGTTGCAGTAATAAGTAATCCACATCTAATAAACTTTAAGATTATTCCTTCTCAAATTATTTATCAGACAAGGATTTTACTCAGTGTCGCTGTGACCTATACCTTTGACCTCACAACCTCGAAATACAAGAGCCCTGTTTGAGCCGGGTGATGCTCCCCGAATAGGTTTTGGACACAGGAAAGTACACCTCTTGTTGTTTCAGAGTTATGTCCCTGGAAAAAGTTCAAAGTGCAATAATTCCAAAATTAGGCAAGGCAGAGTTACTGTTCTTTGCACTGCACTTATAATCAATGTGATCTATCAACCTACAAAGTTTCTTGATGATATCTCTTATGATTTCCGAGTTATGTCCCGGACAATTTCAAAAAGTAAAAATAAACAAAGGGCAATAACTCCAGAATTAGGCAAGGCAGAGTTATGATTCTTGTGCACTGCACATCTACCCATTGAGATATATCTACCTACAAAGTTTCATGTTGATATCTCTTATAGTTTTACAGCTATGTCCTGGACAAGATTTTTCTAAAAAGGGAGATAATTCAAAAATGAGGCTTAACAGAGTTATGGTTCTTTTACACTGCACCTCTACTCAATGAGATCTATCTACCTACAATGTTTCATCTTGATATCTCTTCAAAACCGGGCAAAATAGAGTTATGGTTCTTTGACACTGCACTCCCCCTCAATGTCCTCTACCACTGTATGAAGTTTCAACAAATTATCTCCAAGGGTTTTCAAGTTATGCTCCGGACAAGACAACGGACGGACAGACGGACGTCCGGCCGAAATGGAATAAGGGGCCATTTCTTTTGTTATTTTCTATTGTTTAATAGAGGGCCAATGGCCCCTTACTCTATTGTTACGGAATGAATTCTATTGTTCTCCTTTATTCTGTTTACAGTTAGATGGCCCCCTATCCCTATTCGGTAGTGCGGACAGACGGACAAGGCGCCGACAATATGCTCCCCCGAAATTTTTCGGGGAGCATAAAAAAAGGGGTCATCTACTGGCCATGGTCAGGGCTCCTATAAAGTTAAACTAAATAAGGCTTACATCTTCAACAGTTTTATATCAGTTAAGGTTAACAAGACATAATATTTGGACCATTTTCCTCATTACATTTTTTCTTCCATCATTTGACTGCATTTGAAAATGAAACAATACTGAAATCAATACATGTTTTCACAATATTATATTACTATAGAATGTACCATACAATATGCAACATGGCAAAATACAGTGTGTGTACCATGCAACAAAATATAATTGTCTACATTGAATAAAACATTAATATTTAAAAAAAACAACACTTTTTTTTTAATCAGACAAATTAATGTATTTAAATAATAAAGCATGTTACAGAATTATATACAGGGAAAAAAAACTTACTTATCAATTTAATTGATGATGTACAAGCAAATATATTTGTTTACAAGAGTGATTTTTTAAATAATTCCTTTTTATTCTTTACTATTTATGAAATAAATAATACAATGTACTGAACAAATGCAGGGTCAATACTGAATTTATTAAACAAGTTGAATAAAATTATATCATGCCAAATTTTGGCAAGCACAATATCATTTTATTCAAAAAGTTCAATGAATTTAGTTAGGAAGCCAAAAGAATATAAATTGTACATATCACATACCCACAATGCAGTTTAAAAGAATAATTTTATGATTGACAAGTTAACATTCCATGTGTTTTTACTCTGTTTTTGCACAAATTAAAGCACATATAACATTTTAATTAATCTAGTTAATTTAATTTCAATTTTAAGTCAGGAAAGAGGCACGGGTATGTGATAAAACATAAATCAATGTTTAAATAAAAATAACAAAGCATATATGTATGTACAAAAATATGATTACATGAAAAACAGATATACTTTTACAATATTGCATATTTTAAAATAAATCATTAAATTTTTTTTTTAAAAATTGTGTCTCACAAGATTTTACTATTCTTTCTCTTAGTAAACTTCAGATATAAAGCAGAAGTAAAAATTTTATATTTAAATATGAAACAGTTTCCTAGTTCAATTTTCTTCCTTGTAAAAGAAAGGTTAGGCTTTTATTTTGTTGAACTTTAATTAAGTTATATTGACAACATGAAAGGTCATATAGCATCTTTCCGGCTTTACTGAGCATAGAAAATCTCAGGTGCCACTCAATGCATTAAGGTACAAGGGTGACACCTGAGTAAAAGAGCCACTTAACCTCTGTAAGCTATATGAACCTACATATATCTAAAGGAAGTATGTGGCAGTATTGGAACCCAAAGCAAAATGATTGATAAGGTAAAAGGAAGCATCTCTGTATGTATCATTTCTTATATCTAGTATGCATCTTTAATATAGAACTAATGCCTTTCTTTAATATATGCAAAAATGGTTTCATAACAAGGGAGTATACAAATTATATCAGATGATCAAGGGAGGTAAATCTAATAAGTTGCAAATTAAGACAGTCATAAATCAAGACAGAGGTGACTGTTTTCATTAATAGTACTTAACAATCTGGTTTGCTCTTCAAAAAGAAGTACAGAATCAATTTAATGATTAGAGTTTGGTCATTAAACTTCAACATTATGTATTTTGTTTTTGATCTACTAAAATTCTTACATACATTCTAAACATTTGCAGCCCATCTTCAAACATCTGGCATAGGCCTCCACTGATGATTCACTGTAAAACTGGTCGCCTGTTAAATACCTGTATGTACAAAAAAAATAACATCATATCATGGTTGTATCATTAACACTAATCAGGCCATATAAAAAGATATTAAATTAAATTTTGTTTGTTTTGAGTGGATATAATATCTATGTCACAGAGGTGAGATAATTGCAATATTTACATGTTTGCAAAAGGTTAAGTGAAAATGCAGACATTTTATCACTACAATGTATTTCATATCAACATAAAACAATTTGAATTTATCACATCATTATCCATATCAACTGGAAGACAATATCATTATTACTGTGTTTAATGGGGTACCGGAAACAGACAAAAAGATTGCATCGGATATTCAACAGCTACATAAACAATATTCAAAGTTAGAGTCAACACTGCTGTGTAAATGTAATGATTTTAGTGAAGTAATGATATTTGAATCAAGAAATATATTTTGTGAACAAATTGCAACAATTAAATTTTTTGTAGTAAATTTAAGAAATCTTCTGCCAACAGAAAATTCAGCAAAGCTATTTTAGTCACAATGGGTAGTATACTGATAGAGCTATACATGTATGTAATCCACTCATTTGTATAACATGCAGAACACAATTATATCAAACAGTCAGATCTACCCACTAGGGAAGAAGTTTTGTAAATTCTCAAACATACACATAGTAAAGCTTTCAACTGTTTTTCTTGGATCAAGTTCTAACAGTAAACGCCTTTCTAGATTTAACGCTGTAGAGGAAGACCAAAGTGGTGCTCCTTAAGTGGTGCTTAAATATTTCAGACATAAGCCAACACACTACGAGGGTTGTTCGGGAAGTTCTGAGAATTGTTTTATAGCACATGTTGTAGTCGGGTTAGCGTAAATATAAATATACACGCATTTATTTCAATATATACTGTACAGTATCTGAAAATATAATCATCATACACACAGAAACTAAAACATAATACAAGAGCGATCAGTGATCACATGTGTCGCCTCATAATGGCCAATTTCATGTTGGGACAAGTTTTGTGACAGACGGACAGACAGACAGATGGACAGTGCACAACTAGACTTGGTACTGATCATTCCTGTAAAGTTTGGATGAAATTGCACCAGTAGTTTATGAGGAGTAGTGGGGACAAGCTTTTGTGTATCTGGCAACACACAGAAAAAAACACCTTTTTATCAAAGGGCCATTACTTGGCCAAAAATCATTCAACCGGAAAACCCGTGCAATATGCGCAAGGACTTGAGCTACAGATCAATCCTGTAAAGTTTCATTGAAATTGCATTAGTGGTATAAGAGAAGTAGTCCGGACAAACTTTAAAAATAAAAATTATTAAAGGGCAATAACTCTGACAAAAATCATTGAACCGGAAAATTCTGACAATATCCACAACTAGACTTGGTACTGATCATTCCTGTAAAGTTTGGATGAAATTGATCCAGTAGTTTATGAGCAGTAGTCCGGACAAGCTTTTGTGTATCTGGCAACACACAGAAAAAAACACCTTTTATATCAAAGGGCCATAACTTGGCCAAAAATCATTCAATCAGAAAACCCGTGCAATATGCGCAAGGACTTGAGCTACAGATCAATCCTGTAAAGTTTCAATGAAATTGCATTAGTGGTATAAGAGAAGTAGTATGGACAAACTTTAAAAATAACAAGAATGTCGAACGACACATATACCCCCCTTTCTAGCCATTGACTCACATAATTGGTAATTTTTTTACAAAAACTTGCCAAAAATGGGTACATGGAAGTGTTCAATTATGGAAAAATCAAACCATTTTGACATTTAAGGCCCATGTGACATTGACCTTTGACCTAATGACCCCTAAATCAATAGAGGTCATCTAATACTTATGACCAATATCTAGGTGAAATATGAAGACTTTGTGATGAATACTTTTCAAGATTATCAGCGGAAACCCTTTTGACATTTAAGGCCCCTGTGACCTTGACCTTTGACCTAGTGACCCCAAAATCAATAGGGGTCATCTACTAGTGATGACCAATCACTATGTGAAATATGAAGACTTTGTGATGAATACTTTTCAAGATAATCAGCGGAAACCATTTTCACATTTTAAGGTCTCTGTGACCTTCACCTTTGACCTAGTGACCCCAAAATAAATAGGGGTCATCTACTAGTGATGACCAATCACTATGTGAAATATGAAAACTTTGTGATACATACTTTTCAAGATAATCAGCGGAAACCATTTTCACATTTAAGGCCCCTGTGACCTTGACCTTTGACCTAGTGACCCCAAAATCAATAGGAGTCATCTACTAGTTATGACCAATCACTATGTGAAATATGAAGACTTTGTGATGAATTCTTTTTAAGATAATCAGCAGAAATTATTTTCACATTTTAAGGTCCCTTTGACCTTGACCTAGTGACCCCAAAATCAATAGGGGTCATCTACTAGTTATGACTAATCACTATGTGAAATATGAAGACTTTGTGATGAATACTTTTCAAGATAATCAGCGGAAACCATTTTGACATTTAAAGCCCCTGTGACCTTGACCTTTGACCTAGTGACCCCAAAATCAATAGGGGTCATCTACTAATTATGATTAATCAATATGTGAAATATGAAGACTTTGTGATGAATACTTTTCAAGATAATCAGCGGAAACCATTTTGATATTTAAAGCCCCTGTGACCTTGACCTTTGACCTAGTGACCCCAAAATCAATAGGGGTCATCTACTAGTTATGACCAATCACTGTGTGAAATATGAAGACTTTTGTGATACATACTTTTCAAGATAATCAGTGGAAACCATTTTGACATTTAAGGTCCCTGTGATCTTGACCTTTGATCTAGTGACCCGAAAATCAATAGGGGTCATCTACTAGTGATGACCAATCACTGTGTGAAATATAAAGACTTTGTGATACATACTTTTTAAGATAATCAGCGGAAACCATTTTGACATTTAAGGTCTCTGTGACCTTGACCTTTGACCTAGTGACCCCAAAATCAATAGGGGTCATCTACTAGTTATGACCAATCACTGTGTGAAATATGAAGACTTTGTGATACATACTTTTTAAGATAATCAGCGGAAACCATTTTGACATTTAAGGTCCCTGTGACCTTGACCTTTGACCTAGTGACCCCAAAATCAATAGGGGTCATCTACTAGTTATGACCAATCACTATGTAAAATATGAAGACTTTGTGATAAATACTTTTCAAGATAATCAGCGGAAACCATGTGGTCTACCGACGGACAGACCGACAGACCGACGGACGGACCGACAGACAGACCGACATTAGCAAAACAATATACCCCCTCTTCTTCGAAGGGGGGCATAAAAATTATTAAAGGGCCATAACTCTGACAAAAATCATTGAACCGGAAAATGCTGACAATATGCACAACTAGACTTGGTACTGATCATTCCTGTAAAGTTTGGATGAAATTGCACCAGTAGTTTATGAGGAGTAGTCCGGATAAGTTTTGTGACGGACAGACGGACAGACAGACAGACAGAAGACGGAGAAGTGATCCCTATATGTTGCCACTACTCCGTAGAGGCGACACAAAAAATAGTAAATAACCATATAACAAACACTCAGAGCACGCCGACGTCATTTGAAACGTTATGCGACGTTAAAGTCCATCGATCGTCGCACCTTTTCAATGTAGTCACCTGCAATTTCGATGCATTTCCTGTGTCGGCTGATCCACTTATTGTATGTTTCCACGTACCAGCTATCGGTAAAGGACGAGACTATAGCTTGCGTATGCTTAACAAGATCGTCAGCTGAGTTAAAGTGTTTTCCAGGCTGCTGTGATTTGAGCTCCGGGAACACACGGAAGTCCATCGGAGCGAGGTCCGGGCTGTATGGAGGGTTTCTTCCTTCTTTAAAATGAGCATGCCATCTATACACTGTAGCCGGACTGCCTTTCTTGTATTTTCCTGTAGAATTGATCATTTTCATTGTTTCTGTGAAGACTTTTCCAGCGCAACACAAAATTTCACGTACTTCAAAATTCAACGTCACTTATCAACGTCATGTTGTTTACTCAGTGGCTCTGGGCAACAACTTTAAAACAATGTTGATCCGTTGAGAATTTAAATAACTTTATGATATTTTCAGGAAATGACGTCATGACGTTCCGCTGCTGACCAGTGTTTTCGCGCATTTTTTACGTTATCAAAATTACGAAATATTATTAGTGTAGTGCGTTATACCTTTCTTTAGAGTCGGACTGATCCGGTGCGGCGTTATAGTGTTGCTATGGTTACTGCTATTTCCGGCTATTGTTGTCTGATTCTATTCAATTTTTAGGAATAGTTCTGTGATATGCTAATCTTAGTATGTGCAAAATATTACGTCTTAGAAACAAAAATATATAGGAGATATGACAAAATTCCCAGAACTTCCCGAACAACCGTCATACTATTTTGTCATTCTATGGACAGACAGTGTGATAGCTGGAGGGACAAGGCAAATCTATATGCCCACCCAAGTAATGGTAGGCATGGAAACTGTAAATTTGTCTGCCTTGGATGCCCCAGCTGTCAAACAGTTTTTATATTTGACACAAAAATAAGAACTTTTCATGAATTCTTATTTGTAAGTGTATCTGACTCCTAAAATATCATTTAATATGTGATAAAATAAGCAAAAAGACAAGTTTATAGTCTACAGATAAGCAGATATTTTAGGATATCTTACGTATTGTGAGATGAGGCAATCCAGTAATGGGACAGTGGGTGATTCATATCTTGGTTCAATTTGTCAAATCTAGAGTTCCATATAGTGTTGTGCTTGGAATATAGATAATCTAAAAACTGAAAAGTGAAAAAAATCAAGCATTATACAAATTATACAAAGGGCTGATAAACTAATAACATCATGACCCCCAACACATCTGTGAAATTCGAAATGAAATTAAAAGAGAGAAAAGTTTCATTCATAGACTATTCTCATAGCTTAATAGTAAAACAAGAGCCTTGATAATACAATTTTCTATGTTCAAAAAGGGCCACAATTCTGTCAAAGTCCATGTTACTTTTTTATTTTTTAATTGGGTTTTACGTCACACCGACACAATATACTTCTTTAGGCGACGTTCCAGCTTTACTGGTGGAGGAAGACCTCAGGTGCCCCTCCATGCATTTTTTCAGATGCGAACAGGCACCTGAGTAGAACCACGGACGTTCCGTAAGCTAGCTGGATAGCTTCCTCACATGAAAGAATCCAAAGTCCCTGTTGGGATTCGAACTCACAGCGGTGAGGGGCAACAACCTTAACCACTCTGTCACGGTCGTCCCCCCATGTTACAGTTACAGGCCTTTACAATGGTCTACTATTTAGCACTCAAATAATTGTGTGAAGTCTCAACCAATTCCCTTCAGCAGTTTTGGAGGAACCAACTGGCATGCAACAACTTAACCGAAGTGTGAAGCGGATATCAACACCTGGGTGAGTACAAAAGTTCTCCCTATTCTTCAAATTGTCAATCTAACAATGAGAATGGACTACGATTGTTGGCCTTTAATTTATCTCATACTATAAACTTACATGTAAGTTAAAACCTTTCTTGTCATACAATTTAAACTGTCATATATTGTTAACAAAAAAGTCAAAATTTTTTGTAAATGTGCTGCAAGTATAAAGCCACCTAGAAAACCTAAGCTATCCCTATAGCTGCTTTATTTATGATTTTAACACTGAAATCAATGGCACTGCAAACAGACAGGTCAAAACTTAACAAACAACAAGTCTAAGAACAAATATACTGTGATGAAAGGATTATAATATTCTACATTGTAGGTAAAGTAATCTTTAGTTTTCAGCCTGCTACATATTTTCAAGTATTCTGAGTTACTATAAGTCGTTTGTCCTGTATAATTATGTCAAAATGATGCAGTCAAAATTAGGGCTGTCATTGATAAAAATTTAATATCAATATGTTGAGAGACAAATATCGATGATATATTGATATATCGACTTTGACAGTAAATACAATGAAATTGTTTTTAAATATGCCTTACAAATTGGGAACATGGCGTTATGCATCCTTGTATTAGACATTACAAATACTACATACTAACAGAAAGTTGTTTTATTTCTGTTATTTTTGTCACTGACATTTGACAACGGAGTTTTAATTTCAAATT